GAGGGGGGGGGGGGGCTTACAAATCCAAAGCCTGCAGTCTTGTAGGTGGGACCAACAATGGTATACTTTCTACAATATTTTGCAAAGAAGAGCCTGATATAAGGGAGCTCATCAACAATTGCAGCAACGCCTCCATTTCTACTGCCTTTGGTGAGGGCATCATCATACTCTTCAAGTGTGCCGTACGCTCTGAACTTGGACTTGTCCAACTTCTTTTTCACCAAAAGTTCCTCAACAAAGGAACCATTCTGGTACCCAACANAGTGTGCCGTACGCTCTGAACTTGGACTTGTCCAACTTCTTTTTCACCAAAAGTTCCTCAACAAAGGAACCAATCTGGTACCCAACATACTCCCCATTCCGAATCAGATCGTTGATATCAGTGATCGTCGGTTGAAGCTTTTGGACTGTTAACATCGACGTCAAACTGGCGGTGTAACTCGATGTCAGCACCAGCACCACGAACACCCAAACGATCACCACAAATCTTGATAAGTTGCTTATTAACTTCTCTTCTCCGAGTGCGAGATATCATTTCAGAATATTCTGAGAAATGCAAAACAAGAACAGAAAAAAAGGTATCTTTAATTATACTTATATAGCCTATAGAGGGAAGTACTCACTGTGGGCGAAAACAAGCGTTGAGAAGGAGAACCACAATATCATTCCAACTTGTTTGCTAGGTGGGCCTCGGAATTCTTTGTTTACGCGATGCTCAAGAACCCAAACCACAGCGCCAATGAACACAAAAAATGCCCCGGTTGTTAACCAGAGGTCAGCTGTTAGAGGTTTCATGAAAATCCATGCATTCTTCCTCTCATCATACTTGATTGGAACGATCATTACGACACCAGATTCTGTGAATGGTAATGTGAAATCAACGTACTTGGAGCGGTTTGCTAAGATGGTTACATCGCCAACTACAGCATCAAATTTCTAGGCACGAAACGAAAGCAAAAATTGATTTACTAACAGAAAAATTGGAGTCAGAACAATCAGCACATTGGTATAAACAAAAGATTAATTACCTCACGAAAGATCTGGTAAACAAGCTCATTATATTCACTACCAGGAGATTCAAAAGGAACAAACTCGTATGGGACAGCAANTGTTGACACCTCTACCGTTGAGACATCTATGGGTACTTCCACTTTTATGTTTGACCATTATACAGTGCCTACTAGCACAGTTGCATTACCAGCACTACCGGGCATGATCTCTTNAACCCTACTGTTGACACCTCTACCGTTGAGACATCTATGGGTACTTCCACTTTTATGTTTGACCAGTATACAGTGCCTACTAGCACAGTTGCATTACCAGCATTACCGGGCATGATCTCTCAAAAAGTTACGGCACAATTGTTGAATGGTCGTAACTTCGCTGAGTGGTCACGCTCATTTCAGCTTTTCTTAGGCCGTGTAGGGAAGCTTGGTTGGCTAACAGGATCTCACCCAAATNGTCACTCTGTATTATTTTTGGATATATATACGGGGCTCTACTCTTAATTTGAGTATCATTTTTCACTTACGTTTATTCCAAGTTAGTATCAGAGCCATACACTAACCCTACCTCAAACCCTAACCTTCTCCCTAACCTTAGCCTCCACTGAGACTGCCTCACTGGCAAACTGCCAAAACCCATACCAAGCCTTCCACCGACTGCCACCAACTGCCTTCCACCGAAACAAGTCTTCCTACCTATTCTTCCACCGACTGCCTTTCATCGAAGACCTTCCTTATCCTCATAACAGTCTTTCAGCCTCTAGTCGAAACACCGAAACAAATAGCCGCAACACCGAAACACCGAAATAAACAGGCTCACTGACTGCTCAGGCAACAAACAATCTTCATCGACTGCCTCTCCAGTCTTCATCGACTGTCTCCAATAACTACACACGACGCCCAGCCTACTGTCGGGTTGTAACTCTTCTCTGTCCGTTTTTTATGAGGGGTTAAATCCTCTTCTCTTCTCTGTCCGTTAATCTGCTCTTGATGCAGTAAAATCATTTATTTATATTTATTGGATTTCTGGGCACCGTGACTTGATTATTTGGGAGCCTTTTGGACCTTTTTTATTTGTCGTTACTGTTCGACTGGAGGTATTTTGTTCTCCCTTATTTTATTCCTCTATTTATCTTAGAGTTATTTTTCTGTCACGGGTGCCCTAGTATTGTTGTTGATATGACTACTACTGAGGGACTTGAGAATCCTACTGTTGACACCTCTACCGTTGAGACATCTATGGGTACTTCCACTTTTATGTTTGACCAGTATACAGTGCCTACTAGCACAGTTGCATTACCAGCATTACCGGGCATGATCTCTCAAAAAGTTACGGCACAATTGTTGAATGGTCGTAACTTCGCTGAGTGGTCACGCTCATTCCAGCTTTTCTTAGGCCGTGTAGGGAAGCTTGGTTGGCTGACGGGATCTCACCCAAAGCCAGCTGATGCCGACCCTGGATATTCTGCGTGGTTCTCTGAAAACTGTGCCATTCTTGGATGGTTATTTGGCTCAATGGAGCCCTCTGTTTGCAAGATCCACCAGTTTCATAGCTCTGTTCCGAAGCTATGGAGCGCATTATCAGAGATGTATTCTCAGTCAGGACGGGGAGTTCGTGTTTATGAGCTTTCTCAGGAGCTCTCATATGCTCGGCAGGGAGATATGACCGTTCAGGATTATTATGGCTATTTGACCCAGCGCTGGCTTGAGTATGAGTCTCTACGTCCTCTTGCTGCTATTCCGAAGATAGAGCCCGAGGGAGCAGCATTCTTGCATACTCGAGAGCAGGAGGATAGGATTCACAAGTTCCTTATGGGGCTTCGTGATGAGTTTGAGGGACCTCGTTCTCAGATCTTGTCGATGTTGACACTTCCTTCTCTTTATGAGGTGTATGGGATGATTGAGCAGCATGAGCGTCGAGTCCGTATTGCATCACTTCCAGTTGCAGCTTTGACTCCTTCGATTGACCAGATGACCCTTGCAGCTGCTGTAGGGTCCCATTCAGGATCCTCAGTCAGGGATGGGCAACGTTCAGACCAGCGCCGTCAGGGCACCCCAGATCAGCGCAGACGGGGGGATTCCCGTCAATGTGATTATTGTGGCCGACCAGGACATCTCAGGGCTACTTGCTGGAAGCTCCATCCAGAGCTTAAGCCACCTTCTCGCAGCCGTACTGTTGCTATTGCTGAGGTACCACCGCCCACTACCGCCACTCCTGCTACTGCTCCTCCTTGGCAAAGTGATATGGATGCTATCACTTCCCGATTAGATATACTTATGTCTGCTCTGACTTCTCAGAGTCTGACTACTGCTGCTGTCACCACTACAGGTATATCTCGTGCCTTTCACGCTTGTGCCAGTTCATCTCCCCTTTGGATGTTGGACTCGGGTGCGAATGGTCACATGACAGGTGAGGCCCATCACTTCACCACTTTTGACGAGCCGTTACATACACAGGTTCAGTTAGCAGATGGAACACATGCCCCTATTGTTAGTAGGGGTACAGTCCGTCTCCCAGATGGCCTTACATTACATTCGGTTTTTCATGCGCCAAAGTTGGCCATGAATCTATTATCTGTACATCAGTTAGCCAGAGATTTTCACTGTGCGGTTGTATTCTTATCTGATTCGTGTTATTTGCAGGACCTGAGTACCAGGAGGATTATTATCAAGGGACATGAGAAAGATGGACTGTATTATCTTGGCAATCCATCTCCAGTTTCACCAATTCCTTCACCTGCACCTGCTTTGTCTTTTTCTGTTCCTAGCTTGCATGCTAGTATTTTACCTAGTAGTTGTCGTTATGATTTTTCGTCACAAACTGTTCAATTGTGGCATGACCGTTTTGGACATACAAATTTTAAATATTTATGTATGTTGTTTCCTGCTTTGAGTAATGCTTGTGTTGGTGGTAAACTTGATTGCGTTATCTGTTCCCTATCAAAACATGTTAGGGCCAATTATATTCCTCGCATGCACCAGTCACCCAAGCCATTTGACCTAATACACTCTGATATTTGGGGACCCTCTCCCGTTACTGCTCTGTCAGGTGCCAGATATTATGTGACATTTATAGATGATCATACCCGTTGTACTTGGGTCTACCTTTTGCATAGGAAGTCTGATGTGCTCCCTATAATCACTCAGTTTTTACAGATGATTAAGACACAATTCGATGTCATTGTTCGTGCTCTTCGTTCGGATAATGCCAAAGAATATGTGTCTGATGCTTTAGTGTCTCACCTTTCTTCTCAGGGTATCCTTCAGCAACTCACTTGTCCATATACTCCTGAGCAAAATGGTGTTGCTGAGAGGAAAAATAGGAGTTTGATAGGGATGGTACGTTGTCTGCTTAGAGGCATGAGGGTACCAAAATCTTATTGGCATTTTGCTGTTTTGACTTCTACCTTTCTGTGCAATCGTACGCCGAGTCGTGTTCTTCAGCATAAGGCTCCCTTACAGGTCTTATTTCCTGAGCGGACACTTTTTCCGGTTCCCCCTCGTGTTTTTGGATGCACATGTTTTGTTCAGGATCGGTCTCCTACTCGTCATAAACTTGATGATAAAGCGATTCGTTGTATCTTTGTGGGCTATTGTCATCAATCTAAGGGGTATCGATGTTATGATCCTATTAGGCGTCGTATGTATCACAGTCTAGATGTTACCTTTCTTGAGCATATTCCTTATTTTCCTTTCAGTCCTTTGTCTGCCCCTCCAGTTGATGATACTCCCTTTGATTTTCCATTACCACAAGAGTCAGAGTCATTGATCACTATCCCTACAGGGTCATCCGTTTTTCCTCCAAAGGAGTCACTCATCCCTGTCAGTACAGAGTTACCAGTCTCTCTTCCTTTGCAGGTGTATGCTCGTTGTCCTCGCTCTCATCACCCTGCTGATATCCCCTCTACCTCAGGCGATGCAGGTAATACTTCTCAGTTTGTTGAGCATATTGATGCACCTGTTGTTAGTACTGATGAGATTGCAGGTGCTGAGTTAGTTACTTTACTTGATAAAACATTATCAGTAGAGGATGGTGATTTAGGGTGTTGTTATCCAAGGCGTGATCGCCGTCTAGTTGATCGATATGGTTGGATCGCCAAGATTTTATATCCGATCTCTGCTTATGTTTCTTATGGTNTGATAAGATATTATCAGTAGAGGATGGTGATTTAGGGCGTCGTTATCCAAGGCGTGATCGCCGTCCAGTTGATCGATATGGTTGGACCGCCAAGATTTTATATCCGATCTCTGCTTATGTTTCTTATGGTGATTTGTCTCCCACATTTCGAGCTTATACTATGGCCTTATCAGATACGCTGGTTCCTCGCTCTATTTCGGAAGCTATGCGGGAGCCCCAGTGGGTTCTTGCCATGCAGACAGAGATGGACGCTCTTCAGCGTAATCATACATGGGATCTTGTCTCCTTACCTTCAGGGGTGAAGCCTGTTGGCTGTCGCTGGGTTTACACCCTGAAGTTTCTGGCAGATGGTACTATTGATCGTTACAAGGCTAGACTTGTGGCGAAGGGCTTTACTCAGGTACCAGGTCGTGATTTTGGTGCTACATTTGCCCCCGTGGCAAAATTGACTACTGTTCGGTTAATTATTTCTCTGGCTGCGGAGTACTCTTGGCCTCTTCATCAATTAGATGTGAAGAATGCATTTCTTCACGGTGATCTGGACGAGATTATTTATATGGATGCACCACCGGGCTTTCGTGGTGAGGGGGAGTATGCTGGAAAGGTATGTCGACTGCGTAAGTCTCTTTATGGACTGAAACAGTCGCCACGAGCCTGGTTCTCTCGCTTCAGTGATGTAGTCGTACGATTGGGGTTCACCAGGTGTCATTCTGATTATACCTGCTTTATTCGACGGAATACTTCTGGACA